GCGCTATATGTATACCTTGCATTGTGCGTTACACTCGCGCTGCACCCGCTGCGGGGTGAAGAGCGGGGGGGGGAGGGGAGGTGGAAGGGGGTACTGTGCGTTACGTCGCGTACGAATTTGCATTGGCACTTGGCGCATTACGTCGACGCATTACGTTTGAAACAGGAAAAATCGAAACCGTGCCGAGCGTAGCGCGCAACCTCAACTGCAACCTCGCGCTCGTCACCACTGCATCCGGCGCATACCCCACACGGTTAAGAGTTGCACACGCGCGTCGCATTCGCATCACGTTTTCCGTTACGTCGGCAGCATTACGTCGGCATTCCCGCTTCTTCGCCGAGCTCGCTGCCTCGCGTTGAATTACGTCCGGGGTTGCGTTACACGTCTGGCGGCGACGGCGGCGGCGGTCGTGTTCGCGGTGGTGACGTTAATTCGCGGCTCTTATCAATCGTCAATTTAACGCGAGCGCGCGGAGAGGTGGGTGTAAACCTCTTGCGTGGGCGCTTGCGCGATATAATTTATGTACCGTGGAGGACCATTAATCTCTACTACTTGCGAGTATGTGCCGTAATTTCATACACGTCTCCCTTTTCTTTCGCGAATCGCCGTTCAAATTTGTTTTTTTTTTTTTATGGCGCGTAATTATATGTACGTTATGTACGTCAGTCGTGCAGAGCAAGCGAGGTATAGACGCAAAAATTATGCGATGATCAGTATGATAATTCAATTGTCGTCATTGTTGTAGAGAATACAATAACGCGGCGCAGAAGAAATGTAGTTCATCGAAATGTTTAATTATCCATCGCCGATATTTCCGTTCGAGTGTTTCGCGCTACATAGTACATTGTCATTATTACAACGCGAGCATTCTGCCCGCGAATATGCTTCACTGTCTAAATAGAAATGCACTGCACTCTCGTACGATCTAAACTTTTGTACGGAATTCCTGGTTTCGTGCCAAGAACTATTGAATGCGCCATTAGAGGAATTGAATGCCGACGGAGATTTAATTTTTATTTTTATCAAAAGTGATTATTTCATTTAGCAAGTGCAATGCCAAATCGATAAAGAGGTAATTTACAATTTCACATAAAGGCGTATACGTAAACGCTGTATAGCTTTCAATACTTTTATATAAATAAAGATAGTTAATCAAACATAGAACAATAAAGGTCTATGGGAGCTAACACGGATGTTGGTGTGTATTAAGTTTTATAAAAAATGTGTGGCTGAATATTGTAGAAATTAATACACACCAACATCCGTGTTAACTCCCATAGGCCTTTAGTGTTCTATGTTTGATTTATTCTCGGGAGCTCATTTAGGATTATTTAAAGATAGTTAATTATAGATGGAAAAAGATTATTTAGTTGATGATACATTAATAAATTTTAACGTATAAATAACGAGGTTATTCCATTAATTTTATTATTTGCAATTAATAATGAGAATTAAGAGAATTAATGAGGAAAAATAATGCCGCAATGCGCCTTTGTCGATAGGCTTCGCACATAATTTGTTGGTGCTTAATTAACGTAGCTTAATGGATTGAAAACAGTTGTGTCACACCGAACAAAAACCACCCTGCATTTGATTATTCTGTCTCTCACACAATAATGAGTACCCATTATATATTATATAATAAGTATTCATTACATTGTTATATTATATATTCATATACGAATTTTACATTGTGACGTCGCTCATTTACGTGAAACATAGTAAAACGATAAAATTGCGTTATTGTGCTTCAGATTATATGTAAAATAATCATATGTGACATAAAATTATATCAAAGAAAATACATTAGAAAGTTACCAAAAAGAATTATATCGCATTAATTTGTGTCAAATTAAGACCATAAAAGAGATTCGAATTAAATTAATTGCTTGCTAAAAATACACTTGCATTGTCAGTAATTTTTTTAAATCTCTATCAACATCATTTCAACTATCTATTATATGAATGACCAAGGATCGCATTGGTCATGTAAAAAAATTCGAACCGATAACACAGTGACACTATGCTAGTATATTTAATGTAAGACCTTATTAGACACTTGCGCCATTCATCCGCCGATGGAATATCATTGGCGCCATTGATATTTCCGCGAGTCTAGCGAAATGCCGGCTTTGAATGGCGCAATCATTTAACTCGGGGATGACGTTCATTGCATTCGACACACGTGCCGGGATGCGCACACACGCGTATTGGCGGTGCTCACGAATCTATTCAGCTGTTTGCATCACGTCGCACGTGATTCCGTCTTTGCTGGATTTCAAATGTAATCATACGTACGCATATAGAACGATAAACACCGCTTTGTTTAGCATGGATTTATTATGAATAATGAGGGTAATTCTCACGTCTGTGCAGAATAGCAAATCACATTCGCATCAACGTAAGTGATATATTTTTATATACACTAATACAATCGTTGATCTTCTCGAAAATGCTGGGATTTTGTAATTTAAGTGTTAATGCGGCGTCTATAAGACTTAAGACAATTGATTAATCGACATAGTCGATTATTCATCTCACGTGAGAAGAATAATCGATTGTAATTGGTCAATTTTCTTAAATTTTAAGTCCTAAGTCTCATTAGACTGCATTATAAATATACATCTAGATAAACGATGAAATCTCGTCCGCGTTTTACAACTGAGGTAGAATCTTTTAAACAACAATTTTATATTTATGATTAAATGCAAAAGTAGGTATTTAAATATAAATTTGAAATTTAAAATCTTATAGATGTATATGCCCGATTTTCCTTAAGAAAAAATCTAAATTTAAAAAAAAAAAGTTCCAATACTTTGTTGAGAGAGATTTAAAAAAGAGGAATACTTTACAGCACTTTAGTATATAAATATATGTTTAGTTCAGTCTCATAGATGTTGATACTTGTGGCTTGAAATGGTACATATCAATAGCCAAATTGAAGAAGAGGTGAGGCCAGTTGTTATATTTAGAATTTCGTTAACTTAGGTCATATCATATCTGCGAATTTATATAATATATATTCGAAAGCTCAAGATTGGAATAATGGAAAGTAATAGTCTATTAGAAATTGCACTGCTGTGTATACCTATACCGAGTGTCACAAATACCTTTATACACGAAATTGCATCAGTCTACGGATCAACTTTTGCTGCACGCAATTTGCATGCCAGTTCATGGCAGTCGTGGTGTAGAATTCGGTCGTTATATTATTCACCGATATCGATAATATTTCTCACGCGAGATCCGGATTTATTTTATCAATATAGGTCGGATATTATCGCGGAACGCTTCTCGAGATTTTGACTGTTTATTGCGTCACGGACAGATGCTATTTGTAGAAAATCGTTGCGTCATCATCGTAACGTGTCTTATTACGAAGAGTTAGATATGAATAATTCGTAATAGGTATATGCGAAAAGTTTACGTAAGCTTTGCAAGTTTCATTGTTTCAATACAGTTAGAGTAACACGTAAAGCTTTTAGCGAAACTTTTCTCTCACATATCGAGATTTTTATCTTTGAATAAATGTACATGTTTTATTTAATTGTTAAAATATTTTTCGTATTCAAATCTTCTGCAACAGGTAAGATAAATTCTGTTTCTTATTTTTTAAGTTGAGCTTCCAGTTGAAGCGCATGTTTTTTCTAACTTCTTAAGTTGAAACGAATGCTGACAATTAACCCTTACTTGCCACACTTCTGTGGCGTGACGTGCTTGACACACTGGGGTAGATATAGTGCATTATGTACAATTTTTCTCAGGGTTACATACTTCAAATTAACGAAAAGTGGGCCTGGGGTGTGTTACACCCCAGTGTGTCAAACAAGGGTTAAGATTCTAAACAATCTAAACCATATGCGTGTCTAAGAGGCATCTTGAAGTCTTTTTTAAATGTCTTTAAGAGTCTTAAAGAGTATTAAAAAAATCATCTTCAAGGCTTTCTAAAAGAAATGTGTGAAGATTTTTTTATAAGACATTTCTTGAATCATATGTATAATCATTGACTGCAGCATGTATTGATTAGAATGCATACGATATATTCAATTTGGATATAATATTGCCTGAAAAATATTTATTGTCAATTAAAACCTAGCAATTTTTATTATTTCGCAACGACAGCAGTTAAAATAAAATTTGCGGAAATGCGTTAATGAGAAATAGAAGCTGCAATTACTTAACAAACCAGTAGGTATGTCAAATGATTTATGACTTACATAACTTTGCTAATGACAAAATTTGATCTCTGTGTTATATAATACTCATGTGCACGCCTATAACGAAAATGGAAAAAAGAAATAATAAAATTATGGTTTCTGCAATAATAAATCAACAAGTACTCTATCTCTTCCTTGTTATGCTCTTCTGATATTTTATCGTTTTTCATGAATTTAAATTTTTGCATTGAATAAACCGGAACATAAAGCATTTTAAAAATATCAGATATATTTCTAATAGTTTCTACAAAACATCATAAATATTTTAAGACTTTAGACAATTTTTTTGAACTTTAAGACGTATTTCCTGGTACAATCATAAATTTAAATTTTTGTGCATTGAATAACACCGGAACATAAAGCATTTTAAAAACATCAGATATATTTCTAATAGCTCTACAAAACATCATCAATATTTTAAGACTTTGGACGACTTTTTTGGACTTTAATACGTTCTAGTATTCCCTGGTACGATTATTTTTGATAGCCATAACTATATATACTTTCAGTTTAAGTACAAAGTTAAATGGAATACAATATACGCAATAAACGAGACACAAAGTTACAAATAAAGTTACAAGTAGTAATTCCAGATCGCCTAAGACGACCTCACGCACGCGGCGTGGAGATTCATGGAAGCCGTCCTCGTCCTCGTCGTTCCCGCTCTCCCTGGCTCTTGCCGTCGTTTCGAAATCTGGCGCGCGTTCCGCGCGCTTCGCCCGCGCCTGCGCGGCGTGACGCGCGGAGCGCTCCGTGAGCCAAGCACGGCGCATGCGTCCAGTACCGCGCTTACCATGGTCGATCGTAACGAGGTGGCGATGTCGCGTGTGCCAATTTTGGTGATTCTGGGGGCCACCGGGTCCGGAAAGTCGCGGCTGAGCATCGAGCTGGCGCGCCGCTTCGCCGGGGAGATCATCTCGGCCGACAGCATGCAGGTGAGCGATTGGCAGCGACCGATTCACGGGACGGCCGATCCGACGATGAGGTTAGGTAGGCCGCCGCATGACTTTCAAACTTGTTTACTCCGTTCTCGGAAGCAGGAATTTAAACGGGCGTGGGTGGGGATCGGGGAAAGCGCCGGCTTTTCCGGGAAACGTCGATCCCGAATTACTTGCGCCTCGGATTCGGGAGGTGTCCTCGCGATTGAACGTGATCGTGTGCGCGACTAGACGACCGCGTGGCGGAAGTGCTCCTAATGCAGGCACAGGGACGAGCACGCGGTGATCGCGATAAAAATGAGCGATCAATGTTTGCTCTCGAGTGCCGAGGCTAAACGCGGAAGCACTCGCGGATGACGTCAATGGAAGCGCGATTTTCTGAGAACGTCGATAACGTTGCTGCAAAATAATGCTTTTTACATCTTCTCGCGAATATATTCGAGGAACAATCGCGGGAATTGGAGTAGCTTGTATTTTATTTTTGCCGATTAAATCATTCACTGAGAGATCCTGTTCACACAAATATCGATTTTAACTTTCACTATTTTGTTCTTTTTTTCTTCATTCGAGATTAACGAACGTCACGAGACGTTTCACACGCCCGAAAGTAAAAATCCATCCTACAATGATGGCCGTATTTAAATCCGCCTGTGCTCGTAATGCTGACTTTTAAGTCCGTCTGACGAGGCACTTGGTTAAGGCGATTCAGTGCGGCGAGAAGAAACAGCGCTTCTTCTTCCTCTCACTTTCTTCGCCCCCCTCTCTCTCTCTCTCTCTCTCTCTGTTACGAACACAAATCGCGGTTCGACGTCAGTCGGCCGCTACACGTAAAGCGATGATACGACCGATGATAAGGCGCGCGTGAGAACTCTCTTAAGCCGCGGTGTTTGTATTTCCTTGGGTTCTGATTGTAGCGTCCATCAACCTCGTCATTAACGATACCACGCGATATGTTATTGTTATCGCTATCACAATCGGTGTCATTATTATCGCTGGCGTCTCGATTCCGCCGCGGTATTCATCGTCTTCGATACGACGATCTCTCTCTCCCTCTCTCTCTCTCTCTCTCGTTCTGCGAGGTCGCGGGTCACAGGTCTGCTACGAGCGCGCGGAACACCACGCTCGTGGCCTATAAATTGGCCGGTTTAATTGTCGCGCACGTGGATCGCAGGCGCGTCCGGTAATCTAATGACTAATCGTAACGGCCTTGACACGAGGATCAGCCGCGGCGTGATCCGCGTCGCGATGTAAATCGAATTCCGTCTTTCCGGCGGACCCGCCCCGCCGCGCCGGTGAAACCCGTTGACTTCCGGTCGCGGACGAACTTCCGGCGAATTAATATCGTGACGCCTCTGTCGGGCGGTCAAAGGTCGGCCCTTCTTACACTCCCCTTGCTTTACAAACAAATTGGCTTTCTCATCTCTTTTTGTCGAAGGCTTTTTTTCTTATTCAGGGACATTAACATTCCTCCTCTGCTTCTCACGCCAGCGCTTATCTGATACGTTTCGAAAGACTGAGGCTAGCTCTTCCACTTCTAACGAAACGAAAGGATTGCAGATAGAATTATTCATATTAAGAGGATGCAATTTTATATGAAAAATTAAATTACAATATTTAAAAAATTTTAATTTTTGAAGAAGCAATCAGCTTGTAATTGGATGCTTTATACATCCAATAATATTTTTGTAATGCGAATTAATATTCACTTCTAATTGATGAAAAAATTATTTAACATGCGAAGAGTTAATTTATGCAAATTGTTATCCTGACCTATATTTTGTCAGTTTTTAAACATCGTTATTCTGAAGAAATCGATAAAACTCAATTAAGTAAAGAAGTCGAAAGGAAGCGAAGTATTTTAAATACTTATTTTAAACGAAAAAAAAAAGTTAACTTTTATTTCGAAGATTGAGAAGATTCACCTTGAGTTGTAAAAAATCGATTGTATAGGCGCGTGTAGATTGGGAAATTTATTTCGAACCATCCACGAGTATATCGCTGATATGTAGCACTTTTTTTACATTTTTTACATCTCGCAAATATATTCGAGGAATAATCGAGGGAATTGGAGCAGTTTGTATTTTCGCCGATTAAATCATTTACTGAGAAATCCTGTTAATACAAATATCGATTTTAGTTTTTTCTACACCGTAAGAAGTTCTCAAAAAATTTAATTTTTGAAGAAGCTAATATAATTAGCTTGTAATTGAATGCTTCATACATCCAATAATATTTTTGTAACGCGCAAAGTAAGTGTCTAAAACAATTTTCCTGAACTTCTACACGTGTTCTTCAGTTTCTTGTACAATAAATGAACAGTTGGAGAAAGCGCGATTTTTTTGCGCTAATGGAAAATTTTGCAAAAAGATCAGTTTGATACACAGATGTATCCTCTTATAGGACATGCACCTTCAATTTTTAAGCCTCGCAACGATCTAATTTTGATACTCGTGACCCGTCGCCGCACGGAAAGAACGATTTTGCTGGAAGATCTAAAAATTTTGCTAAATACTGCAGATCTGAAAATAATTCTTGTTGAATCATCAAAATAATTTTGTTGGAAAGTAAAAAATGATAAGCATTTTTAATTTTCCAACAAAATTATTTTGATATTCTATATTCTAATTAGTTTGACTTTCCAACAAAATTATTTTGATTGTATAACAAAAATTATTTTCAGATTGGAATCCAGTAAAATCGTTCTTTCCGTGCGTCTTTCCCGCGGCGTTCTGATTCGCAGTTTCCGTACACAAGGAAGAGATCTAAACCGCGGCGGTTTTTCTCATCCTCGCGTACGCGCGTGTCCGTTTATTTCGGTAGCTTTTTCACACGGGGCGTATCGGCTCCAATTTAGCTTCCCGCTCGCGGCCACGCGTGACTTCACTCGCGTGCATAAATCACGTGCTCCCTGGCGGTCACGACGCCCACACGCGCCCGCGTGCCGGAGAAAAAAAAGAGCTATCCGCGAATTTCCGTCCTCGCGGACCCTCTTCAGCGAACATCAAACGGCGCAGCGTGGCGCGGCGGCCTAGCTCGAGGGGGGGGGGGGAATCGCGATCAGTGCCGGGATTGTTCTCGGGGGCGTCCTTTCGCGACGATCGAATCCTCCTGGGACGTATCTCGCACGACCAGACGTCCGCGTCGCGCGCGCGGAGGTGCTTCTTCATCTTCGCTCAAGACTTCGGCTTCGCGCGCCAGACGCCGAACTAGAGATATTCATTCATCGAGTTTTTGCTGTCAAGATAGTTTGACTGTTCTAAATTGATTGAAACATTTGCTGTAAAAAGTCTGATACGAATATCATTGAATCGTTCTGTGAATATAAGATTTAATTATCTGCGACAGTTCTCTTGAATCCGTTCTTTCTAGTAGGTAAAGATGTAATGTTGAGAACTCTAAACTTAAAAAAATCGATCTTAAGATTTAGAGTCTTTCTTTCATCATCTCAAAATTTAGAGAAATTTAGAAAATTTTCTTGTATTATCTCAAAAATATCAACTTTTTACTTGTGTCACTTTTCTATCAACACAGCGATATATTGAATTGCAATAGTTGCGAGATACGAATGGTGGAAAATATCTAAAATAAAATTTCAATTAGAGATTTCGTTACTCTTATTAAATATCTCTTTATCAAGTGCATAAAATTCTCCGAAAAATTGAATTTCCTTATCTGCTTTTAATCCGTAAAGGACACCTCTCTTTTGAATGGTTTTGTTTAACACGAAATTTGAAAACAATTAAGTTCTTTTTTCGAAAATTTAATATTACCAATCGATTGGTCAGACAATTTTACATTGAGAAACACATTTTGCTTTAATTTTGCTTTTTATTTTCAAAAGATATAAAACTTTAAAATAATTCGCTTGGTGCGAATTCGCACCCAGGTGTCCTTTATGAGTTAATTCGCTATTTAAAAAAAAAAGTTAAATTAAGCACAGGTATAAATTATGTTAAAGAGAGAGGAATCGATTTATTGATTAAAATATCATTCTATTTTTGACGATTTTCGACGAGACCTGTTTTGTATAAATAAACATTTTATTTTATCTGGAATATCGAAGCGTGTAGAAACTCAATTTGCCTAAAAATTAGCCAGACGGAAGAATATGCACCGAAAGTAACTCTCTCGGCAACGCCACGGGTCGATTTCTGAAATATTCAGCCCGTAGAATTTTAATATGTATTGCCGTTAAAAAAGGCGTGCTGGAATATTTCGCCGGTACACTGTAAGCGATTCTCTCATCTCGTGAATATCCATTAAGATGATCCGCTGCATTTCTGATCAGGGAGTTGAAGAGCCGCAAAAGTTCCCGTACAAGTCCGTGAGAATTCCACGAGAGTGTAATTTTATTGGAGAGCCCGTCCTTGGAACACTTCTGGAAATCGCACGAAAGTAGGTGACAACGTATAAAATCGTAGATTAAAAAAAAAAGAATATAATAGAAAATTTTTCAGTAGAAAAATGTATCTCTTCGTTTAAGAATTATATATCTTTTCTCGCAAAGAAATACGGCCGTGCTACTTTATATATTCCGATGCTGAAATATAAAGTAGCCGTTCTCTGAAACTAGGATTATGCGATAATCGCGCGATTAATTTTACGCTGCAGTCGTGTACGAGATTAATTACGAGCTGTAATTACATGTGGAAACGCGTAATTATCGTCATGCCGCGCACGAACGCTCCCGCGCCCGCTTTCGGCAATGCCGATACACGGCGCGGTTTTGTTATACCGTTATATATATCGCTTATATACGTGTACATTACACGCGCATTGATATACCGCGTGCGTGTGTAACCGCGAGTTATGTAGGCTACACGTACGCGCGGGGCACACACTTGATACACGGTTTGAGAAAGTGAACGTTTAGGCGACCCTTTCATCAGGGAGTGCACGGCGCGGCGCGCGCGTTCGCGGGCTCGACACGAAAGCGGCATGAAAGTATAATTAGTTTATAATTCTGTGTAACGTACGCGCGCGGCGGTCGAAAGGGT